AAAAACTTAAGTCATCCATAAAACATATCAAAAGTTTAAGACAGAGGAATGGCTCAGGTGGTAGAGGACTTGCCTAGCAAGCATGAATCCCTGAGTTCAAACCCCAGTACTATCAGGAAAAAAAAAATAACATTCAGGTCATTAGAAGCTGAAGAGAAAGAAATTGGAAAAATTGGTTGAACACTTTCTAAATATAGCCAAGACATTGATTTATATAAAAAAAAACACAGTAAATGTCAAAGAGAAGTCACCCTCAGATACATCAAAATCAATACCAAGCTGATATAAACCAAAGACAAATAAAAAAAAACTCATGCCAACAGACATAAGAAAAATGATATATAACATGCAGGGGGAAAGTTATTCAAATACTGGCAGATTTCTTATCAGAAACCACAGAAGCTGGAAGATAGTGGGGAAATGTAAAGAACTGTAAATTCAGAATTCTAACCAGCAAAAGTATTCTTCAAAGGCTGGGAGTGTGGCTCAACGGTAGAGTTCCTGCCTAGCATGCATAAAGCCTTGGGTTCGATTCCTCAGTACCACATAAACAGAAAAAGCTAGAAGTGGTACTGTGGCTCAAGTGGTAGAATACTAGCCTTGAGAACAGAGAGGCTTAGGGACAGTGCCCAGTCCCAGAGTTCAAGCCCCAGGACCCTCCCCCCACTGCCCCGCCCCAATACATATTTTTTTCTTCAAGGATGAAAATAAACATAAAAGAATTGTCAGGTAAAGAAAACCTGAGAAATAGGCCACCTGCAAACTTGCTGTCAAAGAACTGTTCATGTAAGCTCTTTTATCAAGGATGATACTAATGGAAAATATGGAATCTTGGAAATTGAGGAAGAGCAGAGCAGTATAGAGATGCATATATAATAGCCTATTTCCTATCTTATAACTTATTTAAAATATATTGGACTTTTGGAAGCAAAGATTATAGACCTGTTGAACAAATAGATATAGCATATTAGACAAACTATAGGGAAAGGACCTACATAAATATGGACTTCTACATTTTACTTGAAGTCACAAATTCTTGACTCTAAGTAGACTAAGTAAAGTCAGGTATGTATATGATAACCAGAAACTACCTATTAAAACATAAATGTCGGGGCTGGGAAGGTGGTTCAGTGGAAGAATGCTTGCCTTGCATGCATGAGGCCCTGGGTTCGATTCCTCAGCACCACATAAGCAGAAAAAAAAAGCCGGAAGTGGTGCTGTGGCTCAAGTGGTAGAGTGCTAGCTTTGAGCTGAAGAGCTGAGGGACAGCGCCCAGGCCCAGAGTTCAAGCCCCAGGACCGGATCCAAAAACCAAAAATCAAAAACCAAACAAACATAAATGTCAATAGGTAGTTGACTTGAAATATTAAAAATATTCAAATAAACCAAAAGAAGGCAGGAAAAGTAGAAGTTAAAAAAAGTAGAAAATTAAAAAAGAAGCCGGGTGCTATAATCCTAGCTACTTAGGAGGCTGAGATCTGAGGATAACAATTTAAAGCCAGCCCGAGCATTAAAGCTTGGGAGACTCTTATCTCCAAGTAACCACCAAAAAAAGCCAGAAGTAGAGCTGTGGCTCAAGTGGTAGAGCACTAGCCTTGAGCAAAAAAAGCTCAGGGTCAGTGCCTAGGCCCTGAGTTCAAACCTCAGGACTAGTGCACATACACATACACACACACAAGGAAAAATCCCACAATAAAGCCTGGCATTGGTGGCTCATACTCATAGTCCTAGTTACTCAGGAGGCTGAGATCTGGAGGAACCAATTTCAAAGGCAGACCAAGTACACAAATCTGAGACTCTCATCTCCAAATAACCAGCAAAAATTAACTTCAGGGAGCCATGGCTCAAGTGGTAGAGCACCAGCCTTGAATAAAAAACAAAGCAAGCACGAGCCCCAGTATCAGCACAGAAAACAAAACAAAACAAAACACCTAAAATAAAATGGTGAGCCTAAATTCAATAATATCAATAATTACTTTTGGTGGGGGGGTGTGACTTATTGGTAGAATATTAAATATACATGAGACCTTGGGTTCAATTCCTAGCACTGAAAATATACCAACATTTTTTCCACCAGTGGTAGGACTTGAACTCAGGGCCTGGGTACTGTCCCTGAGCTTTTTTGTGCAAGTCTAGTGCTCTACCACTTGAGCTACAGCTCCACTTCTGGCTTTTTTTGGTGGTTGCTTGAAGATAAGAGTCTCCCAAGCTTTCCTGCTCGGGCTGGCTGTAAATTGTTATCCTCAGATCTCAGCCTCCTGAGTAGCTAGGATTTCAGGTGTAAGCCATCAGCGCCTGGCTTAACAACATTGTGAAGTATTAAAACACACCCATTAGAAGACAGAGATTGTTAGTATTTGGGTTTTTGTTTTTAGAAAAAAAACAAAACACTTATATCTGGGCACCGGTGGCTCATGCCTGTAAACCAGCCTGGGCAAGAAAGTCTTCGAGACGCTTATCTTCAATTAACCACTAGAAAACCCAAGTGGTGCTATGGCTCAAGTGGTAGATCACTGGCCTTGAGCTGATGAGCTGAGGGACAGCGCCCAGGCCCAGAGTTCAAGGCCCACAACCGACAAAAACAAACAAACAAAACATTTATATTCTATATCTGAAGAATTCATGTTAAATATAATGAAAACAATAAAGTAAAAAATGAAAGAACTGAAAATTGATGCAAAGGTTTAGATTTTTCATGCCACCTCTAATCAAAAAAAAGCTGAAAAAGGGGTGACACTGATCAAGATGCATTGGATTCATAAACTGCTTTGTTGAATGGCAACTCCTTAGTACAACTATTTAAAGATGACAAAAAAAATTGGAAGTAGCTATGTTAATATCAGATAAACTAAACCTTAGAACAATGACATTGCAAAGATAAAGTC